GATTTTGGACCCCCAAGGGATTTTTAACGAGCGCAACTTGCACACGGGACCTCCGAGAATTTTCGTCCTTTTTCGAGATCTCAAAGGCTAGGTGTAGATCTTTCCTACCAGAAGATCAGGATACCTGTATACTTGGAGGTGTCATCTCTGACTCAGAGGTTGACGAGTAATGAACCTCCATCTTTAACGGTCGCGAGCTGCCGTTACACATTCTGCCATATCCAGTCCAGTCCATTTTCTTAGGTTTTCCATCCATGTTATTCTTTGCTAGATACGGTCGGGAAGCGCTTTTTCTTCCCCAGCGATAAGACCGAGAAGCTGACCTACTTCTCGCCGGGACCGGTCCCGGTCCCGAGAAGTGCTTCTCATCTCGCGACCAATTTCTCTTCTCGCGCTGTTCACGGGCAGCTCGCTCAGCGAGAAGGCCGGTCGTGGCAGGGATCTAAACTAGGCTAACCCTGCTGTGCAGGCGCAGGCGCAGGCGGTGAAGGAAGGTCGGAAGACCTAGGCCTAGGCCCTGATCAACTCCCCACTCGCCTCGTCTCGCCACCCTCTCCCCTCCCTTTCAGTTTCAGACGCAGGAAGTGGCGTCGGTAGCCTAGTGGTTAGGCTACCGGACTCGTAATCGTGAGATTGCGGGTTCGGGGGTTCGAGCCTCAGCTCGGTCCGACGTTATGTCCTTGGGAAAGGCACTTTACACGAACTTCCCACTTGGCTCAGTCCTATCGGAGACGGACGTTAAACTAGGAGGTTCCGCCCCGTAAATAACCTAATAGTGTTGATAGGGGCGTTTAACCCATACCATTTTTCAGACACAGGACAGCACGGTCATTTCTCATTGGCTGTGTCGCTCTTTCTGTCGACACCTCTCACTCTCATTACTCGTTATGTAAAGTCAACGAGCGGTATCACGTCTCGATATCGGGCAGTAGTTTAGTGCCCGGGAAGTGACGGTAAGGGTATTTCTCGCGAGAAACGGGTACTCTTCTCGGCTCGTGCCCGCTCCTATTCTTTGCCTTCTTCTGGCTCTCCTGCCCCACATATTTCCTTCAAGCACCTCTTTCACAATGGTCTCATTTCTTTTTAAACAGTCATACAGACTTAAACATAGATCTAAGTTAAGGACCACTTACAAACACTCTGAGTGGTTTTCTTGGGTCGACCTGCACGGGGGCGTTCTTGGACTGATACAGTGGCTTAATGGCGCTGCCTCAAGCGGACAATGACAGAGTGTGATACTGCAAGCCTTCTGGCAACCTCTCGGGCCCCAACTCTACACGGCAGCCATGCCATAGCTCTGGCACGATGAAAGTCTCTCAGCTTTCGTCTTGGTGACAAGTTGATGAAATACTGGAATTTGCGCAAACGGCGGCTTACATTGCCACCAAAGTCAGCACAGTTCGAGACAGTTTTATGACATGCACCAGAAATTTTAACTGAGGAATGTCTGTGGTGTCGCACACAAGTCGATAAAAAAGCAGCTTTGGCTAAAATTAACCGAGGATTTCCGTGCTGCACGTGGTGGTTTGGCCCTTTTAGGAAGCTTTGCAAAATGCATTGGTAACCCATGAACACTTTCAGAGTAAAACATTTTGAAACATTTCTTGCTGTCTTTTCTTCGCTGTCTGTCAAGGTGGTCCTTAACTTATGTTGAAGTCTGTAGTACATGTATTGTATTTTTCTACATCAGTGGCGCGGCTGAAAGACAGCAGCAAGAAGAAGCCATGGAGTAGCAGTAGACAGGCTACAGAAAGATTCAGGAGCCCAGAGGCGGGGGGAAAAGGAGGTGAGGGGTGGGGGCAGAAATTGGAGCTGAAAGCATACAACAGAACATTGCTAGAGCAAGAAAGGGGGTGAAAGGAGACAATTTTAGAAAAGAAAAATCCCCGTCACTGTCCGGACTCGAACCCGGGACCAATTGAATGAGAGGCGAACACGTTAACCTCTAGGCCACGGGGGGGGGGGGGTAGCTGTACCGGCAGCATAATTATTATAATGGTACCCTCTAGGCTTAAATACTGGTAGTGAAAGCAATTGGGACCGAAGCGCGGAAAAGAAAAGAAATTCAGTTGCATTTGCCCTCACACCCAGTTACTAAAACAACGTAATCCTATTTCTGTTCATTCTTCTTTATAATCACAGGGCATTCTTTGCACCCATGCCTCTATTTTATTAGTCATTCTAAGGATTATTACTATCTTAGTTTCTCACACGTTGTTTATACCTGGATACAGAAAAGCCAGGCGACATCTTTTAACGAGTAAGTAAGACCAGCGGAGCAGGCACAAGGTTTAAGTTTAACAGAAGTTGTGATTCGCTTTCACAGGAGAAAAATGATGGGGGGGGGTGATAAATTTAAGCCAAGCTAATGCAGAGTTGTTACAGGTCAATTAAAAAAAAGTAAGTAAGCAAACGATCGCTGTATACTTGTGCATGGGCCTGGAACGAGACAGGTTATCATTATATTATTATAATAGCACTTGCCGCTGAGCTCTCGCGTCAGTGCTCCAGCAAGATTTAACGATTGATGTCAGCGCCGTTGAAGGCATATATTGAGGTAAAGTAAAAGAATAATATTATTTTTTCCTTACACGAAATCGAGAGATTTTGTAATAAAGCTTTGGGTTTTGTTTAATCTTTTTATTCTGGTAAGTGTTTTATGATGTTCGCAAGGATTAGTGCAAGGACGAGAACAATAAACCTGTCGCGGATTCCAGCCTTAGACTTAAAAATGGCTGACCTCTCTTGCGTTAAGATGGTAGCTTTCCTCCGTACTCACCGTGTCTTCTATCCAGCTCTCTTTCGTGTAAATATATTTCTTCTTTTTTTTTGCTGATAGTAACTGTTAGTGTTTTACAGCGATCGTAACTGCATAAGGCTCTTGCCACACTGCGAGCAGAGCGGGCACAGCAGAGCGGAGCTGTTTGAGGCGTTAACATTGGGAGGCCACACTGCAAGCAGAGCGGAGCGGTCGGTGCAATGCAACATCATGTGGCATCATATTTTCAAATCAGTTTCACTCAGTTGCCCATGGATAGGAAATGATTGGCGTTATTTGTCCTGGTCGATGAGGAGACTCAACAGAAAAAAAGCAAGAAAGAAATGGGTGCACCTGAACATCTGACTGCAGATTCTTCCACTGATATCTGAATAAAAAGAGGGTACAGTGAAAACATTATCAGAATAATACACGTAGTGTTTAGCCCAAAAATTTAAAAGGATTGTGCATTTTGTGATACAAGCACCAAATTTGGCACAGATGTACATTAATATATAGCAAACATTTTTAGATATTGGGCCACTCGGATTTTTCTCTTTATGGCCGCCATATTGGATTTCAAAATGGCCGCCATTTGAAATCTACATTTGCGATTATCTCTGGGTCAAATGCTGCTATTGACTTCATTTTGGTTTCTAAATGTATGTTTTGGGGGGCAAGGAATCCAATGGTAACAATCTGCATTGCGTATTTTTACTAATGGGCCGCCCAATTGGATTTCAAAATGGCCGCCATTTGAAATCTACATTTACGAGTATCTCTGGTGCAAATGCTGCTATTGACTTCATTTTGGTGTCTAAATGTATGTTGTTGTTTTTTTTTTGGGGGGGGGGCAAGGAATTCTATGATACCAATTTCACAATTCAATGCACAATCTAATGCACAAATCTAAATCAAAGACACAAATCTAAAATTCTAATGCACAAATTTATCCAATTCACAATTCAATGCACAATCCAATGGCACCAATTTCAAAGTAATGTTGTCTTTCACACTCTGTTTAACAAAATGGTCTAGGAAAATAATAGATTGAACTAGATACTTTGAAAGGAATGATTATATGAAAGCATGTTGTTTGATTGATTGAGCGTGTGTTTTACGGCACTATCGACTCAATTTTGAAAACATGTTAAATGGGTGTAAAAGTCTTAAGTCTGTAAATATCGGGGGTACAATTCTGACATGCCAGATGCTCAAATATCTGAGGCTAGGTGTATACTGACATTCTTCAATGGTCTGGTATCTGAGGCTAGGTAGATATCGGTACTGAGGATGCATGTACATAAACAGTGTCATGTTAACAAGTTCAGCACTGCCACAAGTACAAGTATGTTGTGGACTCATCGTTATGTGCAGTCCCCTTCACACACACAGAGGGCAGTCTTCTTGCATTTGTAGAGCTTCACACTCAATAAATGGCACTTGCAAGAAACCAGCTCATTGCAGCTGTGAGCTGCCTCGGGTAGCCTGGTCTAGTATGGTGTGTACTGTCCTCCAGCCATTGACCAACCATAGTTGTTTTGTGGAGGGAACTCTGGTGCTGGCAAAAGTATCTGACCCCACACATTTCCACCTCAATACACTCCCTTCGTGACATGTTCCTCTAAAGCTGCCTACGTTGGAGGGATCAGCAGCATATCGTTCTTCCTTGCGAAGAGTTTCCTCCTGGCCGTGTCATTGTCCGTGCATTTGCTGGTTCGATCATACAACAGGATCACGAACCTCTTGATGATGGATATTGCATCGTTTGGTATGTCACGTGGTGCAGAGGACACCAGCAGCAGCGCCTTAGTGAGTTCTGGCAGTACCGTCCAGACTGCCCACGCAGTCTTCTTGCCATATGGGATGAAGATCTTTGGAGCATACTCTCCAAATGTCTTTAATTTAATGCAGCCAATCTGGGCGATGGCTGCTCCATCAAGAACTATACAGCTAGTGACAGGAGTCTCTGTCTTGGCGTCGACGGTTTTTTCAAAGCCTGTTGTGAGATCATTCTTAGTACACGTGAAGAGGTTTCCACCAGCAGACACTGCATGAGGACATGCCTGGTTCTTGTGACGAAAGAACTCCTCAAGGTTTCCATCCCTCATCTGCCAGCCAATGTACAGGCGTGCAACGAGTTCACGGTCATTTTTTATAGAGACGAACTGTTCCTGACATTTACTCTTATTTCTTGGAGTGGAAGTGCTGAATACCTTCAGCTTGTCACGAGGAATGGGGTCGTCCACTGCCTTTGTTCTGTCAAACAGACACTCTCTGGTGAAAGCCTCGGGCTGCTCTTGTCCAATCCTCTTGATTTTCATCACGGTCTCCACGGCAGAATGACCTGCGATGTCCTTTGTGTCCAGTATGCTTAGATCCTGACTCTCCTCCTCGAATGGGTTGCCCATCTCCTTTATGATACCGACGAGACAGCGAACATCTTTCACAAATGAGGCATGTACACTTGGCGTCTGATCATGATGACGTGTGTCTGCTGCTTGCAATTTCTGGTCTTGAAACCATCCAGCGACGAAGGGCACTAGGATTGTCAGTTAGCCCAACTGCGCCACCGTTTCCTTTGATGCAGGCATTATTCTGCTCATGTGCCTGGTCAATCGGGATTAAAGAGAACACCCTCTGTGTTTTCTCAACTGTGAAATGGCCTTCACTGAATTTCCTTGCTACGTCTGGGTGTTTGGTAGTGAGTTCAGCGATGTTCTTCAGGTGCACTGGTATCCACCTAGCATAGTGGGTATGATCTAGTGCTTGGAACCAGGTGACCAGCTCTGTCAGAGCATCGAGGTGCATCATCAATGATCCCTGCCAGAGAGAACGCACGTACACTAGAACCAACAGTTTTTGTTCCATCACAGCTGCCCAGTAGCGAAACTGGGAGATGTTGTCTCGTCTCTGGAGTCACCAGTCTTCAAACGCAGGAATGTCCTCTGCATCCTTGGTTTCTCCCAGACAGTAGTGGTAGTAGGCATGGTGTTGCAGGATGTACAATGCTGCTGTAGCCACTTGATGTGCTCTTCTTGTGCGCAAGACATGAGATGCTTGCAGGAATGAGTGTGCTGTCCTTGCTGTCACAATCTCGGCTTGCACAAGTGCTTGCCACCCAACCACTCCCTTGCAGCCAGTCCCCCAGTGTTTTCAGTACTGCCATCTCTATGTGAGACCACCAAACATCACCACTATATGGTCTTCACTATAACTCTCTGGCCACTTCCACTGTATCTGCTTGGCCAAAGCAAACAGTGGATGATCCAAGGTGACCACTGGTGTCTGCCCAGGATTCAGATGTTCTACAGCTTTCTTCACAACGTCCATTGAATGCCTGATCATTGCCACAGTGTGGGCACTTTCCAGGAAGAGTGGAAGCAGCAACGTGGGGCAGATGACTCTACCCTCTGGTGGGTGTCGACTGGCATGAAATGCAGCCCAAGATGTGTTTTTATTGTCCACTGTACCAGTGTTGTCTCCCAGAGCGTGTTTTGCATTTCCTAACCAATGTTATTCTCCATCAGTCTACTGTTTGAAGTCTCCTCTGGTCAATGACGCAACTCCAGCAGCTGGGACAGACGACATCTTAATGCTACTAGTGACAGAGGGTACATCAGTATAATAGTGCGGCAAAAGAGCAACAGTCTTGGACCGTGCATCCCCAGATTCTCCTGTAACGAATATGTTCGGATTTACTCCTTCACCAGTGTAAGAAGGATGTTGTACGAGGGAGATAGCGGCACCTTGGAAGGAGTCTTTTGATGTCTTTGCACTAGGATTGTGATCTATGTTATCTACAGCGGCAATTGTGAACTCTTTGCCACGCACTTTTGGAGGTCAGACCACTTGTTCTCTGTGAAGTTGTTAGCAGATATGGTTGCCCATCTCTGCTGAGAGCTGGAGCACTCTACCATAAGAGGTACTCAGGCCAAGGTGTGACAGTCTGTCGACCAGTTCCTTCTTGTGTGTATGAGCATGCAACATCATCCCAATGCATGATGGAAGTGGGGTCTCCTGTGCAACACTGTGCCTGACACAAGAGGATGATGTGGTGCCACGTGTTCGCTTGTGTTTTACGCAGTTGAACTTCAGTATCTAGGCTGCGGTAATTGCTGCAGGGTTAGTGTCTGCCATCTGCCCCTTGATGCTGGGTCTCTCTAGGATCATGCTGACTAAGGCAAGCAGCAACGGTTGCAACAGATTCTTCTTGGCATCATCCAGGGCACACTGTGAAGGGCTTGGCTTCTCCAAACATGTGACGGCGATAAGATAACGACGAAGGTAGATCGAGAAGCAGCCATGCAATGTAAAGCAGCCATTTTGAAATCCAATATGGCGGCCCATTAGTAAAAATACGCAATGCAGATTGCTACCATTGGATTTCTTGACCCCAAAAACATACATTTAGAAACCAAAATGAAGTCAGTAGCAGCATTTGACCCAGAGATAATCGCAAATGTAGATTTCAAATGGCGGCCATGTTGAAATCCAATATGGCGGCCATTAAGAGAGAAATCCGAGTGGCCCAATATCTGAAAATGATTTCAATAAGTTAATGTACATTTGTGCCAAGTTTGGTGCTTGTATCACAAAATGCACAATAGGTTTGCTAAGCGGCCCCACTAATGTACGAGGGAGAGGCATCTCATTTCTTTTTAAAATTTCTTATTAATTTTCTCTCATGCTTTATCCTGTTGTGGTGAATGGGAAATAGGAACATAATAATAATCATAGAATCCTCAGCGTGTTTAAAGCAAATCAACGATAACATCTAGATTTTGAAATACAAAGAGTTTTAAACACGTAACGAAACACACGTACACACGCATACGCACGCACACACACACACACACACACACACACACACACACACACACACACACACACACACACACACACATACATACACACACGCACACACACAAATATATACACTCATACACACATATAACGTAATATGTTATACTTCACAACAAACAACCTGTGTCTGTGGTGTAGCGGTAGGCATTTCGTTGTCTCATGTAGAAGACCCGTGTTCGATTCCAGAGTAAGCAAGAATTTTTATGAAGTACATGTATTTCTTTTTTTTTCTTCTTCTTAGACGTTGTATCACTCTCTGCCAGGGTTGTGTTTGAATGTGTGTTGTGTGTGTGTGTGTGTGTGTGTGTGTGTGTGTGTGTGTGTGTGTATGTGTGAGAGAGAGAGAGAGAGAGAGAGAGATAGAGAGAGAGATGGAAAGGATTGGCGAAGGGAACGTTGGGGCTAACGATGGGGTCGGCAGGTATAATTATGTTGTTAGATAATTGAGAAGAGATCATGTAACGCCTTGGGTGTCATAAGAGTTTAGGGTACAAATTAAATTCATAGTGCAGCGACTTTGGCATAGCTACACGACACCTGCGTTCTAAAGTAGTCCAGTTAAACGAATGTAGTTTTATTATTAATGCGCACAGGTCTATATAAAGCGTTTGTAAATAAACTTTAGATCTAATTCGTCTGAGCTCAGTTCACAACCCGACGTTCTGGCAAATCTCTACTATAGTTTGCTTTGCTTTTCATCTACCTTTTCTGAGCTGTCACGTACTTTCTTTTTCCTTTCTTGTTATTGTTATTGTCACTGAATGTCATGAAGAAGGAAGTAAATTTCCAGCGTTTTAGAGCCCCATTATGTCGGGTTTATTTATCTCAGCTCGCAAAGCTTGAAACTTTACTCACGTCTGCACGCAGGAAACACATGAGAACGCACACTTGATATACCTATCCATTGTTCTCTAAAACATTCCCTTTGTGTACACTCATTCATCTCTCTATCTTTCTCTCGTCCCCTCTCACTCTCTCTCTCTCTCTCTCTCTCTCTCTCTCTCTCTCTCTCTCTCTCTCTCTCTCTCTCTCTCTCTCTCCCTCCCTCTCTCTCCCCCCTCTCTCTCTCTTTCTTTCTTTCGTTCTTTCTTTCTATATATCTTTCATTCCCTCTCCCTTTCTCTTTCTCCCTCTCTCTTTTTCTCTTTCTTTCTCTTTTCTGTTCTCTAACTCCCCCTCTTATACATGTATTAATTTTCACTGCTGCGCTCTGCTTGCAGTGTGGCCAGTTGGTAGGAAATTTTGAATTTTTCCCGGATGACGGTAAAAGAGCCTACTCTTATCGATTTTGGAAAACAAAGAGATTTTTTAAGAGCCCAACTTGCACACGGGACCGTCGAGATCTTTCGCCCTTCTCCGAGAAGGCTAGGTGTTACATCTTACCTACCATAAGATTATGGGTGTGGATTAAAGACAGTAGTTAGAAGAAACCCTGGAGTAGTAGTAGAAAACCTGTAGTAAGAGTAAAAAACTCAGAGAAGGAGGCAAAGGGGGGGGGGGGGGGGAGCAGAAAGTGGAGACGAAAGCAGACGACAGAATATGGTTACAGAGCAGGAAAGGATGTGAAAGGAGAACATTTTAGAGAAGAACATTTTCCGTCGCTGTCCGGATTCGAACCCGGGACTTCTTGAATGAGAGGCAAACACCATAACTTCTAGACCACGAGAGCATCCACTAAAGTCATTAAGAGGAAGGGGCGCTTGGTTTTCTGCAAGGAAAATGAGCCATGGGGAAAAATAGTATTATTAGTGCAAGGACGAGAGCAACAAACCTGTCGCGGATTCCAGCCTTACACTTAAACATGGCTCACCTCTCCTGCGTAAGGATAGTACCGTAGCTTTAGCCTACTCCCTACTCACTGTGTCTTCTATTCACCTCTCTTTCATGTCAGTCTGTGGCCCAAGTACTTTCTCAAGTGTATAAAAAAGACGATCGCTTTTGAAATGACCTAATATTGTCTTGTCGGGCCGGGCGTTAAACTGTACCCCTCCCTCTGCCCATTAAAAAAAAACACTTTAAAAAACCCGAAACAAACAACAACGAAACGAACAGCGACAAGCAAACAACAAAAGTAACCAACCAGCCGTAAAGAAGTGTCTTATACATGTATAATGCAAACGTTTACCGGATTTCACAGAAATCATTTCTTTGTGGTACATTTACACCAGTGTGATAACCTCACATAGCTGTCAAATAATAACTCTTTTAACAGTTCGCGAAAGTCGCTTGTTCATTCGATAACATGATTAGGCCTACACTGTCCCCTTTGGCATGACCTAAATCCGGTCATCAGCATTCGGTTAGAGTGCACGACTATGAAAATTATGCTATCAGACTTCGTAGCCTACTTATAACGATAGCGGCACCATTCCGAGTAACATATTCTAATCTAAGTATTAGGTGACATTGTCACATCTATAAGGTTGTTATTTTTTTCTAATTTCGTTTTACAATTGAAAAAGAAACATTTATCAAACAGTAGGCTATGGCTGGATGTCAAAAGTCCACGAACAACTTTGTTCGAGGTTACGTCTGCTGTATAAATGTTCATAGGCTGTGAAGCTCTGATTTCCGTCTTCTCTTCTCTTTTTTCGAAAGGTTAACAAATCACACTGACAGAGAAATAAACATACACTGCAAAACCTTGAACGCACCAAACAGCTAATACAAAAAACTACGTGTTCTATTTGTATGAAGGTAAATTGAAAAGCAAACTGGAGTCGTTTTACAAACATAATACTTCTTTGACTCAAAACGGAATACCAGTGTATTTTGCCACCTGATATTTAGATAAATAGTCGCAGTAGCCGTCGAGTGATTTGTGCTGAGTACAGAATGGGGTTCAATAACAAGTCCGTAAAAGAAAATGAAATGGAAACCCCTTTGTCAGTTCCTTCCTTCGAATGCTCCCGCTACCGTTTGACATTCATTCTTTTGCTTTTGCATACAACTAATTTCAAAACGAACATAACTTACTGGGAGTAGAAGATGGCACATTTACTTTGTATCTTTATCATAATACTCACGGCGGCTTGAAAGCTGAGGAATATCTATTCGACTGTATTCAAGAGTCTTTCATAAGATCACAATCCGAACATTTGTGTAAGAACACTCACTGTAATATTATTATTATACAAGGGATCAAGGTATACAGTTGCAGACTTGTACTACCTCACGTCTGTTTTTCCTTTCAGACGATGAACTTTTCACTGCTTGGAGGACTATCAGACTTTCTACTGTTCGTCTGTCTGCTACTAGTCGTCTTCTACTGGTACTGCAATGGGTTTTTCAATGTTTGGGAGCAGCTTGGTGTGCCTGGACCAAAGCCATGGCCCTTTCTATTGCACATCCCAGAGTTGAGAAATGGCATGGAACAAGCTTTTGATAAATGGGAATCAGAGTATGGGCGAACGTATGGACTTCAATCCATCATCAGCCGTAGGCCTGCGCTGGTGACCACGGATACAAAACTCTTGTATCACATCTTTGTAAAAGATTTCGACAATTTTGTCAACAGGGCTTCCCCCTCGCTTTCCACAAAAACAACAGCTCTTCGTAGTCTCTTCTTCTACGGTGGTTCAGACTGGCGGAGAACTCGTCACGTCATGTCACTAATGTTCACTGGAGGAAAGCTGAAAATTACGATGTATCACGCAAACAACAGCGCTGCCACTCTCGTGAATTTAATCAAAAGAATCAAAGCTAAAGGAGAGCTCGTCCCACTGAAAAAGTTCATGGCCAAATACACCAGCGACGTCATCGCTAAATCTGGCTTCGGGTTGAAAGCTGAGGCTGTTTCAGATGTTGACAACGAGTTCTTTGACAACATTAACAAATTTTTAAGTTTGGGCTCTACGTCACAACAGTTTTTTAGACTCATTGGCCTGTATTTTCCATTCATCTCAAAGATTGGCCTGCATTTCTTCGAGAACGCTGACTGGATTAATCCAAAAGCAGATGCCTATTTCTCTGAGCTTGCCAATAACGCTATAGAGACAAAACGTGAGCAGAAGTCAGAGAAAGTAAATGACATGTTGGATCTGCTTCTTCATTCAGAGACCCCGCGCGCTGTTGCTGGCCCCAACGAAAAATGTTTGACTACAAAAGAGATTGTGGGTAATTATATTGTTTGTTTACGTGTTTGTTGTTGTTTGTTGTTGCTGTTGTTTTTATTCCACTCTAGTCTCTGAATAGACAGCTATCCCTAAATCTCATAGAACAAATGGCACCTCATAAAGAGTTTTTCACTTGCTGTTAAACTTCTTTCTCTATCGAGAAAAGTTTCGGGAAAGCTGCTTGTTCCTCATTGAAGTCATGGATATTTAAGAACAGAAAACGATAATCCGCAAGATTCATTATGAACGGTTGAGGACAAAATAGTCTTCATTTCCTCAAAAAGGAGAACATCGTAACATATTCATTATTGTATATTGACTTATTTGAATGTGGCCATATTTTTCACGTTTTCAGCTAATTCCGTTTTGCTGATCCTCGCTGCTTATGAAACGACGTCCAGCACTCTGCGCTCGCTCCTCTACCTGTTGGCTCAAAATCAGGATATCCAAGACAAGGTCATCCAGGAGATCGATACTGTACTCGATGGACGGACAGAACCTGAATACGAGGATCTGACCAACCTCAAGTATACAGAACAGGTTTAGTATTAATTGATACGTAATTTTACTTCTTGTTATAGTGATATGGAGCTATGGTGCTCGTTAGTGTAAATACTTATTTCCCACAATAATAATAAAAAAAAACCCATCAACGTTAACCCACTATTTCTTTTGTGCGTGAACGTGTACATGGGAGTTGAACTGGCCTCACTGAAAAAGATCAAATACAGTCGAGCCTGTTGAAGACGGATTCTTAGATGGCATTGCAAGGGAGCCAGAAATTTAAAAAAAGACATGTTCTGTCACAGACAGGGAAATTTACGGGGAGAGGGGGGAGGGGGGGTTCACGGGTCCAGCTGATATGTGATCAAGGGTCGCTTGTCCGGCCAACAAACAGTGGTCAAAGGTCACCTTTATTCTCACCCCGGTTGAGAATAACCCATGTCTTTCTCTCCCCGGTGGACTCCCCCCCCCCCCCTGACCTCTTGCAGGCCGATAAAATCACCTTGGCCCTTGGTGGCTTAGCACATGTGATTGGGACCGAATAATAATAATGTAAAAACATTTTTCGCCTCTCCAGTAAAAAAAGGCTCACTACCGCACTGAGCGGGATGTTGGACCGGCCGCCGGCCGGACCATTCTTTGCTTACATACTTAACGATGGCAGGCCTCTCTGAACACAATACGTTGGTTCAAGGAACAGGGAGCGTGTGCGAACGTAACGAGACACGAATACGAGACCATGCTCTAGCATGACGGTTGAAGGGTTGTAAATTATTCAGACCAAATGGACGAGGGCGTTAAACCGTGTTAACTAGTTTGATAATGTTAAGCAATCCAAGCTCTTTTCTTCACTTTCATTTTTTTTTTCTCTCATAGGATCACTGTTTGACCAATAGAAACAGAAACGATTGGACATCTCCTTTGACTCAACCCTTAGCCCCACCAGTGTAAAAATTACAGTCAGCCAATTCCACTCCTCCTGTTCATTTAACCACGACTGGTGATTTCACACCCACTCTACCCTGACCATCTGCACCGCTCAGGGCTCTCGTGGATGGGTCTACCATCCAAAGTCGCACCTCTACCCCCCCCCCCCCCCCCCCCCCCCGCTTTGCTTTCTTCGTCTGGCGGTATGGTGTCGTAAAGGTTAAAGCCTAGCCTAGGTTTAAGTCTATGGAACCAAAATTTCAATAGTTTTGTTTCAAACTAGGGCCCGAAGGGAAGGAATTTTTCTTTCCGATTTTGCGTTTTATGGAGGTATTATACAGAAATACATGTATATCAAAGGAGGTGGGTGAGGGTGTGTGTGTGTGTGTGTGGGTGGGTGTGTGTGTGTGTGAGAGAGAGAGAGAGAGAGAGAGAGAGAGAGAGAGAGAGAGACAGAGAGAGAGACAGAGAGACAGAGAGAGAGGAAGAAACGAGGAGGAAGTGAGGAGGGAAGGCGTGTCTAAGAGAGGACTTGGATCATGTGGCCCCTAAGCCTGAGATACTGTGTGAGTGAATGTGAGAGAAGGGGGAGGGGGAGGGGAGGAGTGTGAGGGTAAGCGTAGGGGAAGATGGAGTAGGGGGGGGGGATTTTACAACACTTTCCACAATTCAATTCAGAACAGAACAACAAAAGAACTTACCAGAGTTAAAAACAAAAACTACCAACAAAAACCTCTTAGCAAAAAAACCCACTGAACTTCTCAGATCTCCCTTGTACAAAAACACTGAACTCCCCTTCTCAGATCTCCCTTGTACAAAAACAGAACAAACTTGTACATAAAACCCCATGTACAAAAACATACATAAACACCCCCAAACATACCCCCAAACATACCCCCAAACACACCCCCAAACATACCCCCAAAATAAAAATAAATAAAAAACACCCA